GTTTGTTTTTCTGCTGACCTAGTTTTCTTTGTTCATGCCAACTAATCAAGGATTCCTTTTTCAACTCACTACATACACTACAGTATTCGCAGTAATCAGTGTTCTGTGGGAAATTGTACCAGCACCTGAATAATTAGACTCATACACTGAGTTCATGGGTTCAAATTTGTGCAATGTACCTGGGTAAAAATTACTATCAAAATGTATTAAAAAAAATCATTACTTACTGTACTTACACTACATAGCTGAAATTAGCCAAAATATGTATACTGGAGTCATTGATCATTATGCATAGCTATGACATACAACTATTAGATAGTTTAAAAAAAAACTATTTCAAACTAATTAAACTATATTCCTTCCTGTATTGCTACTTTTTTGGAATATCTGAGTCTGCTTTCACTAGGGAGACTCAAATGTGTAATATTAAAAACAACTCAATACCACTATTATGAGAAAAAGAACCACTGTGCATATCTGAGTGTTGGCAATCTACATCGGCTGATGTAAATGGAGCCAATGGTTGCCACAGAGACTGAGGGTAAAGAGACACCTACACTGATTACAGCTCTGTCACTGAGTCATGAGAATACAGCTGGTTCACAGGAAACCTCCTACGCAACATTTGTAGGCCAGCATCAATGGAGTATGCGATTTTAAGCTACTAGAATTTAACTCAGTGGGACAATTTGTTTCTAGGCTAATGTATTCAGAAGTTTGCTTCTGTTATTAAAATGTCACTTGTGAGGTCATCTGTGAAAATAGCTCTTTTATGCTATGTTGAAGGCGATGTTTACGATACGACAGATGCACTACATGCCACGCGGGGAACCAGGACAGACGACAACAGAGAAGAAATCAAAGAAAACATAAAAAAATCATGGATATTGAGTGTTGTATACTGTTGGTGACTGATTACAAGGAGGGTCATGTGGGATGAGCGTCACCGAGTGGCTCTTGTACATCCTACTCACGTTTTCAAAAGAGCCAGCTTTCATTAGTCGTTCTCCTTGCGAAAAAGGACCTATTATGAAACGAAACTCGTTTGTGTTGGCACCACTTGTTCGGTCAGATCTGCGAGCTCATGTTGGTGTTCGTAATTTTCAATCTAGGTTCGCTGTCGCACGAAAATTTGGTTCTGTGTAGAGGTCTTTAGGCAGATTTCCATTTCTATCACTTACCTCTACGCTAATACACATGCCCTAGGGCTCAAAACATGAACCGGGGCACTCCTGCAAAGTTGTATTTGTCAGCCAAATAGTTCTGAATGCAAATGCATAATTCCTATTAGTTCTTTCATTTTTTTTAAATATAGAAACATAGTCAAATTGAAAAGATCTGTTGTGTAAAGTTATTAGGCTAATAATGCCACACATTTTTTCTGAAAAAAAAAAAAAAAAAACAATAGTGGTGTTTGTGGTTTAAAATATTTTTCCTGACATAAATATGGACATGGTACGTGAAAACTAACATAAAGTGATGGTTTTAATAACTTTATAAACAATAAATATATTTACATTAGTGGGTCTCTTTTTGTTAAGATCTTTACCCTTCTTTTCGAGTGCCAGGTGTGATTTGTCTGGACGATACATGTGAACATACAAAATAGAGAATTTAGGACTGAAAGGTAGAAATGGGATTCTTTGTAAGTCTCTGGCAAGTCAGAAAATAGCCCTAGCTCCGCTTGATTCATCTCTGTTATGAAGCCTCATCATAACAGATGCCATAAATGCACCTGGTACAGGTCATTGAGGTTAGTGGCAGCGAAAGGCTCCTCAAAGCAAACTGAACCGTCATGTTCCATCAAATATCATGGAGTTGAAAAGAAGTATGACTAGAGTAGAAGAGGCAAATGAAGAAAGCATAACTTTTAATAATATTAAATGAGTTATCACTTATACCAGTGGCTTTCAAAAATCTTGGAAAGCAAAACATTCTTTAATTGAACATGCTTCAAACTATTTTTGAGGTGCTTTCTGGGACACAGATAAAAATCGAATAATTGAAAGTTTACTAGACAATTCAAGAGCATTTAGTATTATGGTGCATTATGCTGTATATGGGACTGGCGGAAAAAATGGAGAAAGCATGAGGGAATTGAACAAAGGTTGTATTATTGCCAGTGTTCTGGGCTCTGTGCTGGCAGGCTCAGAGCATCTGGCACAATGTGGGTTTGTTACGATGGTTCCGTCTCATCTACACTATTCATATTATATAACAGTCTGTTCCCTTCTCAAAGAGACACCAACAGCTTGAGAACACTGGATATTCAAGATAAATGTATTTTGCGAGCTTTTATTTTGAATCCTGGTGTTATATTTGATCGCACTGCCACATATAAGATTTAATTGAAAATAAATGTAATTCAGAGTTGAATCACAATTTAATTTTTTTTTTTTCACAAAAGCACCACTGTGGTTCTCATGACTGTTGTCTCTCTGCAAGTTATCTTTGTAGCAGTAGCTGTAGTTGCATGATATCAACTTCCTCCAATCTGTCTGTCTGATGGATGTTTACCTTCTGTCGGAATCTGTTTTTGCTTACTGTCCTGGTTTTGTTTGCCGTTCTCTTCTGTGCTGAGTGTTCCCAGGACATCCACGTCAGCTTTCATCTGCATACAGTTCTGATAAAAGCCAGTGTTATGCACACTACGATAAGCCTCACTAAGTCAATACCCAAATATCCTCTTTAGACAAAAACACTCTCCATATCTTTACACAACAAAACCTGTTTTGGACTGGGAACAGATAAAAGAATTAAATAACTAAAAGTACTTACACAACTACGTATTATGAGAATTTTCAACATTTGTGAGAAATTGTCAGGTAATTGTTAGATTTGCACGGCAAGTATTTGACCGTCTATTAGTCAGCAAGATGTCTGGCTCATAATAGTTTTGTTTTAGCCAGTTAGCTACTTGAGATTAGAAGTCTTGTTTAAAGTGAGAATCCTCACCTTACCCATACAAAAGAATCAGACTTCAACATTTACATCCAAGCTAAGATACAAAAGCTGTTAGAAGATATCAGAGCAAGATGGTAGACCTACACTCTGAAAACAATTGGTAACCAATCAAGAAAGCACATGCACAAATCTTTAGTTTCAGTCTTTAGTTTGCCGGTGAACATCTGAATGGCTCATAGAAGAACTGGGTGGAAAAGGCTGGGAAATTATCAATTAGCATTTTTGGAGTTTTCCCACCTATTGGGTTGTCCTTCCATCAAGGGAGACATCACAACTGCATTTTATTCTCCAGTTAATCATTGCAAACAAATCTGTCAAAAATGTTTCATTTTTTAGCCATCGTTTAACCATTAATTTTACCAGTTTAAACAACTTTTCCCCACTAAAGCTATGTATAAAATTTTATTTAGCATAAAACCATATTATGTCATTTGTGAGTTTCATCTAAATTACTGTAATCTTTAGGCAATTTTGCATTATTAAAGTGATCACAACAGTACTCAAATTCCATGAGGACCTTTAAATGTAATAAATGTAAATTTAATCTAAAGCATATATCCTCAAACTCTAACCTAATCTTTTCACTACACCACAATCTGTAAGTAGTTTAGATTGATTTACATAAGGAATGAGTACCTACATGAAAGCATGGTTCTAATTGTAAATCACATCGTATAATATATTCTGCTAAGTGTATACTTTAAATGTAGGTCATTTCCATTCCAGTACAGCTGTGTAGCCAAAAATGTGCACACGTGTCTGCTTTTCTCTTTTGCCAGAGGGAGGGTCAGCCGTGGGTTATATGACGAAGCTTATAGACAAACATCAGGCGCATTTCTAAGAAAAATGGAGAACTGCTCATAGTGATGGTCAGGGGGTTTCTACTGAAAACCACTGCTGATTGGATGTGCTGTCACATATGTTTTATGTCAAACATTGTGGCTGGTCTAGCCTGCAGCCCAAAAGTGACTGGTGTCTTTGTAAAGAAAACCAAACATTTGATTTAATAGGAAAATGGTTCACCAGATGAGACAATAATGACTCATGGTGCATATGTTGGGTTAAAGAAGGACATTAATAAGCATCAAAGTGAAAGATCTAGAGTCAGTGATTAATAAACTGTCTGACTGGAGATAAATCTCAGCAAACAACAGATTTATTCTGCAACGAATAATCCTGCAAAATCAGGATTTTTGGTGAAACTGCCATAACATTGCTGGTTTTGTGTGTGCCATCAATCCTCAATCACTCAAAAAGCAGCCGGAAGAGTAGATAACTAATTTCACCAACCTTTTCTTTAGGCTGTAACTTTAAACTGTAAATACAGAAATTTTATACTTTGAAAAATCTAATCAGAACATGGTTAAATGAACACAAACAAGTTGTGTTTCGACTTGCAGAGGCCTTATGCAAACACAAATGTTTAGACTCAAGAGACGGCAAGAAAAAAAAAACACTTTTCACTGTCCACTGTTCGCCTTTTTTTTTTTTTAAATGCAGCGATGCTTTGTGTACATGTGGAAAAAAGAAAATCCCTGTTTTCAAAATAAATGACTTTATAATGTGGTTTTCAGGACCTCAGTTGTCAGTACCAATTTAAGTCATCTTTTAATAATTAGACTTAACAAAACAAACGGCAAGTGAATCTCGTAACTAAAAATGTCAATGAATGCCATGTGACTTTAAACCTTCAAATGTTCTGTTACTTTACATTGCTGTTGCTATTAACATACTAGGAGTAAACCATGTGCAATCTTGATGAAAAACACAAATGAACAGTCAAAATATAGACAGCAGAGGAATACCTCTTTGTTACATAATCACAAGCAAACATCCACTCTTCTTTCCAATCAAGGGAGTCAGAAAAACATGAGTCAAAACCTCTGAGCCAGCCAGGAGTCGCACCAAGAATCTTCTGATCCTCAGTCAGACATGTTATCCAATGCAACACTGGCCCTCCACAAAGCACACCTGGAGATCTAATTATAGCACCTGAACGATGCAAAGAAATGTTTTTTTAAATTAAAAAAAAAAAGTCCTTCGAGCCGGAGTGGAACCAGCAACCTAAGGTTTGAGACATGCTATGGTCCTCTGCACAACCAACTGCGCTACTGAAGGTCACACAAGGCCTCACCTTAATATCACAAAGCAACAATTTTAAAAAGAAATAGTTTAAACTTCAAAGGTCTACTTTTTAAGCACACAATGGCAAAAGCAGTTAAACCATAATAAACGGCAGCGCCTTTAAAAATATATTAAACACAATACAATTTCAATTTAACAAGGATTTGAACCAGGAATAGACTGTGGCTGTGTCTGAACCTCACCAAAATGCTTTTATTTCTGAGAGTTTATCATTCCAATCAGATTACATTGAGAAATATATAAGTGCTATGCGTGTAGAAATGATTCTGAACTGTTAAGATAATGTACAACAGATCCAACATTCTTGAAAACATTAAAAAGGCATTCAATAAAAATGGCAGGAGTCAAATGTTGAGTCAAGTTCCATTTTGGGTCCACTATTACTTTAAGGAAGCTGCTATTTTGATCAACCCAACTGTGAATGGTAAATGTGGGTCTACTGTTTCAGCTACAAGCAAACCCACACACTGTTTGTTTCACTGGTTTCCATAGCGATGTTGTCATCCATTACAAGCCAACCTCAATAGCCCTGGCTTGAGCTAAGATAATAGTCCTAGAAGCATTTGTGTCTGTCAGATTCCTCACATCGTTTACATTGTTCTGCAACTCGATGAGACCAGTGTTACTCACTGACCCCTTTTCCGGTGTGTTAGAGGAAACAGCATGACTCAGATGTTGCACTTAACCCCCCTCTCTACTATTTCACCAGCTTTGTTATAACTACAGTCATGCAACACGCAGATGTTGCATTTTCTCAAAAAAATGTCAAGAACACTAAAGTGACTATATAATCTGGAGGGGTTCCTTATATTGCTTTTCCTCATTTAAGTACTTGCCAGCTCACACACTCTATTCTAGTCTGGTGGGAGCAAATTGGCAGACCATTATAAGTAAACGCATACAGCAAATTTGCCAACGTGAGCTTCAACATCAATCAAACACATCACCACGACTGCTATAATCCACCGTGCATCTTTTTTTCCGATCAGGCAGATATGTTTTATGGCTCATTGGCACCAGACTGTCTGTCCTAGGTACAGGATGAGACGACAACCCCAAGATAACCCTTGCCATATAGATCATGTGTGTTTTCCTTGCTGCAGCACATGAGTTAAGCTTTCAGCATCATAAACATCTCACTGAACTTAAGTCAAATCAGCATTTTTTGTTAGTTTGTTTATTTTTAGAAATAACGCATTTGTAAAATGTTAAAGAACACATCTTTTATATTTTTCAGTTTTGGTAATTAAATCACACTGTCAACACCAATAATTGTTACGAGTTGAATGGCAAGGATTTCATGCAGAAGTGTTTTAAAAGATGGACATCCAGACACACCACCATGCAGAGACATTCAAATAAAAGGGTTACTGCAGTTCTGGACTGAAACAGGAATTCCAAAACCAATCTGCAGAACAGATGCTTATTAAAACTTATTCATTTAATTATTGAAATATTTTAAAATAATTTTTTTTCTCAAACTTTTTTTTTAAATTACAGTACAGAACAGCAAGCAAATAAAACAAAACATTCAACCCCTGCAGTCAACATTGCTAAAAGAATAAGCTTATCCCTATCCATAGGACTCAACCCTTTTTGAGCACCGGGATTTATTTATGCATGAGCACCAAAGCAGCGTAGAACCGTATTCCTATGAGCACCACATTTGCGTAAAACCCTTTTGCTATTTATCAGAGTATTATTGTTTCGCGGCATTCAGTGCATTTTTGAGGTTCTCAACATGCAATTTACATCTGATTCGAAAAGTAGGTTTGGCAAAATGGCTCTATAGCAGCCCATAATCCATTTCAACTTATGACGCTCTAACAATTTGTTGTAGGCGAATGAAGAGTGAAGGTGTCGTAAAAGAAATAACGTTTATAACGTGGAAAGCGCTGTTCTGTGAGTTAGAGGAACCCAGTGACGCATTCTCAAAAGCGTCTCTCCATCTGTCTGCGCTTGTGCTTCAAACCGTGTTGGTGTCAGTAATTTGTGAAATATCTTGAGAAAGTTAACTTTCATACGTAGTGCCGTAATGTTTTCTGCCATCCGTTCCACCTCCTCCGACAAATCGCCTCACTCTCAAGGTAAGGTTTCACATTTGTGTACATATTACGTATTTTGCATGTGTTTTATTCTGTTTTATTATCATTTATTACAATATGTAGTAGATAATGTGTAGATTTAAGGATTGAAGAAAAGTTACTTGATTTTTCTCTGGTTTTCCTTTTTTTTTAATCAATTTATACTGCTGTTTCTGAGAGCCGTTGCATGGATTAGGCGTTTTCCTTGCTTATGTAAAACTTGCTTCGAGATACGAAAAGTTCGAGATACGAACGCCTGGAACGGATTCATTTCGTATCTCGATGTACCACTGTACTTCTTTTTACCACGTTTGATATAAGTAACAAGAATATTAGCCAAAACAAGTGCAGAAAAATATTTGTTCACAGCGCATACTGGGGGTTATGAGACTATATGATGTGGTTTTCATTATCAATTTGCATATATCGTTCAGTAACTTTGACAATTCTCATCTTAAATTGCCCGAAGTACATATTGCAACAAGCTGACTACCGAGAGGCAATGGTGCCAAAGGTGCAAGAGTCCATTGATCGCTTCTTGCAGCTTTAATGCATCCACTTGTCTATGCGAGTTGTGAACCATTGTGTAAATCTATAGGATCAACATGGATAGAGAGAAAGAAAGAGAGAGAGAGAGAGAGAGAGAGAGAGAGAGAGAGAAAGTTACTTATTAACCAAGAGTCCCTTTAAAACATATGATTACTGTAGTAAAGCAAGCAGATGTTAAACCTAAGCTTGTTCAGAATCCAGATGGGTTATAATAATATTCTATAAATTCTAAAGTAGGCTAAGTTGTGTTCTAATAGCAATTTGAAAATTAATGTAAAGTGTTAACACATATTTAACAGTCACCATGTTCTAACTTGTGAATAAGCTAGAAATAAGTTGTAAACCATATGTGTTTTTCCTGTTTGAACTACTCCAACTCTAATGTGTATTGTTACTTTAACAATAAGAGACAACAGCAAATATATCCTTTAGTACAGGGTCGATATATTATTGGCAGTTTGCTAATTCTGGGGATTTTTTTGCATAAAAAAACATTTGCATGTTAACCTTAGCACAAAAAATGTTCAACATGTTTTGCAGTTTAATAATCAATGTTATTCATCGAAATTTAAGAGCAGAGTGAGAAAGTAAAGAAGCTGAGGGCAATTCGTAAGGCTTGTTCCAGTGCACTTGCAGAACCAGCTCTGTCGGATGTGTCGGTGTCCTTTCCCTTGTCACTCTGGGTGAGGTGTGATTCACCTTGCTGTTGTTGCAAAAAAAAGGGTTTTTGCAGCTGGATAGTCATCGATCGCAGCTCAAGTATCATATAACCGAGAGTATTTGTTTTACATAACCCTGTATGTGCCTTGACCCTTCAGCTTCCTGCAGCTAAGCAAAACTTTCTGTTCTAAAGAAGACACTAAATCATCATGCTCTGATTCCCGGCTAATTAATCATCAAGTTTATTAGCGTAAAAACGTAATGTTCCCGATTAACTCTGTGCTTCAATGAGTTTTCTTCCTGTAATATTTGTGAAGCGGTTAATATTTAGCTTTGCATGTTGCAAGCTCTTGGTTCTATTCAGTTCATCAGAGTGTGTCTGTGTGTTTGTGTTTCCAATTGCATGCTTGTGTGTATTAGCAAGTCCTATTTGAATGGATTAGCCCTTCTTATCCAGATCGACTCTTTCCATTTGTCACAATCAAGGTCATGCATTTTAATGTTGCAATAAGAGAGAGGGAAAAAAGAACACAAAGAAATGGTGAAACTGGAAAGGCAGGATTTGCGAAAACAAAAAAAGTGTGACTGCAGGATCCGATGAGAGACAAACAAGATGTACCCTTCCTGCAACCAAAAACTAGAATCTGTGTCACTCCTGGAAAGGGTAACAGTACACTGAATAACTATTATACAAAGTTTCCTGTTACTGTGCTGTTTTCTAACCTACCTCAATCTGGACGTCTCCAGACAGGCTTTAGGGGTCATGAGGTCACATTCCTAAAAGTTCTTGGCATTCTACGCTTGACTTATATATCAGTGTTGGATTTATATAACAAATTGTGTACATGCAACATTGTTTTGAGTAGCACATGCTGCATATACCAACACTACCTTTGAACCAAATTAAATTTACTAATAGTTTTTTAATTGTTTGAAACGCATCTGAAAATACAGTTGAAACTCACTTAACTGAAGAATTATGGCCTCTGAACGACAATACATATTTTCGATGCAAAGTTTTGTGTGAGAATGCGCTGCCCAAGCAAAGCTCACATACCTGACCAAACTAGTGGTGGCAATGAAATTGACTCTGCCATATTGGATTGTTTTTTTCCCAAAGAGTGCTGGCTCTTTTGTTGACACGAGTGGGAGGTGTTAGATTTTGTTGTATTTGGCGCAGCAGTCTTTGGGTGGCTCGCCAATGTATTAGATTACTCTAATACATAAAATAAGTAAGCTTGACCAGAGATCTTTTGAGGAGAAGATTTATTGAAGGTTTCAGTGTAGCAGATCATCATACAGTGAAGGTTTTGGTCGTTCCTGGTCAACCTTCGAACCTACTGTGCCTTGGAGATTGAGTGTCTTTTAAATGCAGAAGGGTTGTTAAAGGAACCCCCACAATTATAATATCTGACTGACCTCCTAGAGCCAATCAACACAAGACTGATGAATGTGTGGGGGTCCGTAGCATTCTATTGACGCTATCAGAGACACTCAATGTAAATACATGATACAGTTAAATAAGCAAAATCCTTATATATATATATATATAGGTATAGGAGCAATTCGGTGGCAATCAACCCACATTTTCACTGGAAACAGGAAAGAAGAACAAGAAAAAGAATATGTCAACAGAGAAGAAATCAAAGAACAAAAAGATCATTAGGCTCGGGGTCGGCG